ATGTTCCACCATCAGATGTAGAAAGATATTCCACCATCAGATGAATGTATCTCCACCAACTGGCTCCTCTGGTCTCTGGTTCTGATCCATGCTGCATCTATTCATTGATCCAGTAGGATGGATTCTCCTTCAGTGTCTCTGAGGAAACACTGGCTGCAGTTCACCTGAAACTCTCTGGATGTTTCCTGTTGGTTGCTCTGTGCTGTTGGTGTCAGTACTTCAGTTGGTCCGTACCGTGATCCCATCTAACCAAATATCATGGTTTCTCCCATAGAACCACAAACATGGCTGACGCGGCACGAGGTCCCGTGGTTGGCCGGCCATTGGCGTTCACCAATGAGGAGCGGCGGGCGGTTCACTCCTGGTCCCGGATCTCGTCGGCAGGACACAACGTCCTCCTGGATGCCATGAAGATCCTCAGCCCGATGTCCCGGGACCTGTCGAGCACCGAGGAGCTGGTGAGCTTCCTGCAGGAGCTGAGCGAGGAAGGACATAAGCCCACCGTGCTGCGCAGCAAAGACGTCTACGGATACCGATCCTGCACCAACCAGCCGCTGACCGAGGACATGCTGAAGCCGCTCAGCAGGAACGTCAGACCCACCGCCAAGAGGAAGGGCAGGCGACCGCTGGCCAAGAAGAGGGAGGTCCACCCGTCCTGGATCACCTCCGAGAGGACCAGCCCCCGGATTCAGGGGGTTCGACCGCCGGAGCTGCTGGTGGACCATCGGCCCGTCATCTGCAGCCGGACGCCCAGCCGGATGCTGGACAGGTCGCCGGTGGAGCAGCCGTGCCTCAGACTGACCAACATCGAAGGTCTGTCCGGCTTCCACACGGCCAGACTGCAGATCCACACCACCTGGGACTCGGAGGCCTCTGCTGCCTTTCCGCAGCAGCAGCACCCGTCAACGCTTTCAGGAATACCTTCACAGCCTTCTCAGAATGGTGGCGTGGCGCCCACCAAAGCTGTGGCCTTGTTCAGCCAGAAGAGCCTGTCCTGCCCCATCCGGTTGGACGGCGCCCTCATCGGAGACTCAGCGCCGGTGTTCTACGCCAATGGCCGGGCGTTTCCTCAGACTCTCACAGAGCTGCCCAGCAACGGCTGGAGGAGCAACGGCCTCCACCGGGACGCCCGAGGCCCAAAGGACCTGAGCCCGCCGACCCGGCAGAGAAGCAGCTGGAAGGACAAGAACAGTTTTAGGTGGAAGGTGATAAAGGTGGACGACTCGCGCTCGGTGGCCGAGGCCTGCAGGAAGGCCCAGAAGATCCTGCAGGTCAATCTGTCTCCGGTGATCCAGATCCAACCTCTCAACCACGTCCTCAGAGACTTCAGATACCAGAACAAGTGACGCCTCCATGTTTCCTGTAGATGTTAGTGTTTCCATTCGTTAGCCTCCACTGGCAGTCCCTGTTGGTCCCAGAGGGTTCTGTGATCGCTGCTGCTGCTGGCGGATGGAGGTCGGTGGAGGTTCTGGTTCTGACTCGGGCTGAAAGGCATTTGAAGTGAGGTGATGCTTTTCCTAGCAGGCTGGGAAATAACTGTCAATGTTAGTTTACGCCCGACAATGTTTCAACCAAACAGGATTCTGCTTTAGCTGTTTGTCTGGTGAGGAACCAGAATCCACTGGATCGGTTCTGTGACTGTCAAGAACCACCCAGTCCAGAACCTTTATCTACTGACCAGAGTTCTACCTTCAGACTGTGAATGTTCCAGAGTTCCAGGTCCTTGAAGACCACAGAGGAGGGTCTATATTGATCACCTTATTGGACTTTTTCCATCATTTCTGAGCCTCAGAACTTCACCAGAACTGCAGATAGACACATGACATTTAGGAGAAAGAACACATCTGGGTTCTGGTAGAACCTGACACCAGATCAGTTCTACATCCATCCAGGTGTCTCAGTGCAAAAGGGTGATAAATCTGGACCCTCCTCTGTGGACTTCAAGGACCTGGAACTCTGGAACATTCACAGTCTGAAGGTAGAACTCTGGTCAGTAGATAAAGGTGCTGCAGATACAGAACCAGATGTTCTGAGGGGGTTCTGACGTGGTGTTGGGATTATCGGACGTCTTCAGGTGACAAACATGAATCTGTGAGAAGAGCTGCAGGTGTGGAGGAGGAATCGGGCTGAGTTTAGGCTTCCAGGCGGTTTGTGAGATCTAAGAACTCAGACTTGACCTCAGAGGTTTCCTCACACGGTTCTCCAGATATGCGACTGTAATGTTCTGCTGGGTTGGAGTTCAACACATCAGTTTGGCTGATTTTCCAAAGCTTGCAGTGGAGTTTTCTCTCTGCATGACGGCGGCACCACGAATCAGGATGAAGAAAGAAACTGGACTGAGCTGCAGACGTCTGATGAACCGAGAGGCTCAAGTATTTTATGAAACAGCTTCTCTGACTGCAGTTCATTACTTTGATCGTTTAAAGTTGCAGCACAAAGTTCTGACTGAGTCCAGACTGGTCCAGATGTGTGTGACCCGTTCCGGTCGGTCGGGTTTGAACACCGTTGGTGGTGGTTTCTGCAGATTCAGTGACACAGAATCCTTCTGACATGATTTGTTCTTTACCAGTAAGTTCTGTATCACAGAGAAGCTAAACGCTGCAGCATCAGCTGTTCTGGTGTCGTGCAGCTGAACAGAACCTTTTATCTCCCAGCAGAACAGGTTCGTGTTTATTTGGAGTGAAATGATCTGTTTTGGGTTTTCCGGTGGGGACTAAACGCAGGTTTTTGCTTCAGGTGCTAATTTTTCGGTGCTGAATGAAATTATAAGAATGTCGAGCAGTTCTTCTCCGTCTGGGTCGGAGCTGCAGGTTGGGCCGAACCGAGCCGCCTCCTGGAACCGAGTCCGTGTTCATGTTGTCATCCGTGACACGTCTGTCGTCCAGCTGAGCGACGTTCCACCAAACACACGCTGCAACTGCTGGACTGAACAGAACCTGTTTTCTGGAGCTTCGCTTCCACCAAGCAGAGAGAAGCTCCAGAAAACAGCAGCCAGCGACCTTCAGCCAAGGTCACATGTCGACTGATATAACGTCCAGGTCAGTCAACGTGTTCCAAAGCAGAACTTCTGAACATCTGTTACGGAACATCTGGTGGAACCGATGAGATCCGAATCAGAAACGTGTCTCCTGTCGGAACCGTGTGGCGGTTCCACGTCTCCGTCTGTGAATTTCTTTTGGTTCTGGGAGAGTTTCTTCTCCGTCGGTCTGTTCGCAGTCATCACCTTTTCTAGATCTTCTTTCTGTTAGTCTTGTTTGTGCAACACTTGTATAATATTGTATTTCCTACATGATCTTTGAAAATGTTTTTGTTCAATAAAACTGATCTGAAAACAGTCCGATGGCTTCGTGTGGTTGCTGCTGTGGAGCTCAACCTGCAGCCGTGAGCAGTGGTGGCCGGTGGAAAGGTCTGGTGTGCAGAGTCTGCAAAGGAGCTCTTATTTAAAATCAGAAATCAGAACATGAGTAACACCAGGGACAACTATTTACAGGAACAGTAATGTTCTACCTCTGGAGGATGTTACCATCATCTGATTTAAGACCGACCAGAACTAAACTTCAGAACCATTCATCAGACTTTCATCAGGATCTGAACAAAACAACAAAAAATGAACAAAACACTGTTCAGGGCTCCAGACTGACTCTTACACTGGTGACACCGGTATGACCCACTTCCTCATTGTGTCCCATCTCCCACCTGGTCAAAGGCAGAACGTATGACTGGCTGAACATGTTCTTATAGATAGAGGATTTACTGACGCTCCCTGAACGCCCCACACAGCAGGCTGGTAGCTGCTGCTGGAGGCTGTGCTGCTCTGACAGGAGTGTGACCAGGAATGACTTTAACATAATAAACTGGGTGTTTTGGTGTCGAATCTGTCCGAGGTTAAACCCACTTACATGAATTGTACGAGCAGCCTTTTCTCCACTGACAGCAGGCAGATGCATGAAGCCGTCAGTCAGTAGCTGTGATCCAGTAGCAGAGGAGGGAAAGATATGTGTTTAAAGCTCAGTCGTAAGAACGTCAGAGGACAGTTTTATATCCAACCACAGAGGACAAAAGCAAATAAAGACTAAATTAATTGGCTTACAGTGAAAGTGGGCGGGTCCGGGATGCACCGAGCTGCACCCTGTGAGAAAGTCTGCAGCTGCCAATCAGAGCCTGGGCCGAGGTCACATGATCATGGACAGTTTATTGAGCTACATACACACTGATGTGGCCGCGCCTCGCATCCAGGAAGTGTAGCATTAGTAAACACGCAGTAAAGACTGATATTACATATGTTTATAATACAAATATTGTTACTATAGCAAAGAATATGAAGGTTATTATGATTTTATTATTATTTTGTTTTAATTAATTCAAATTTAATTTTAGCTTTGAGAACTACTTTTTTTCTGGTCATTAGTGGTGCGCCCCCTATAGACCAGCCGACACTGGTCATGACTCGACAACCTGACCATTAACATAGCGACAGCCTTGGATTCTGACTCCGACATGACATTTGATGTCACCAATCAGTATTATTTGACTGAACAATCCCACAGATTGGCTACGTTCACACTGCAGGCCTTACATGGATGGTAATGGTGGAGCGTATCTGCCACTCCCCCGCCGCCACCGATGGTGGAAACAGAAGTGTGAGCGCTAACTAAACTAGCATCAACAGCCAAGTACTGCCTGTGTGTTCTGGACACTTCCATCCCATCAGAGTGCTGCCCCGGGGTGGAAGTGTCCCCTGACCGCACAGAATGTTCTGATATTCATCATTAATTGGGCCTGAATATCCAGAGAGCAGAAAGTGCTATTGGGACCAGAACCACTAGTTATTATAACAACTATGAACAATAATTAACAACTAATGAGCCTTCCAGCATCAAGCCCTCCTCGTATCTGGACCTCCGTCTTGACAATCCGACAGCCTTGCTATCCGACATAGAAGAAGGTTTTACATTTAGTGTCGGATCATCGAGTCACGGCTGTATCTATATACTGACCAGAGTACAGTGACAGTTCAGGTGTTCGGCAGACGTTGAGGCTGACGGTGTGCAGAAATCACCAACTTTCTGCAGTCGACAGCTGCAGACCTCCAAACTTCATGTGGCCTCAGATCAACTCAAGAATGTTGCGTAGAGAGCTTGGTGGAATGGGTTTCCATGTCCAAGGCTTTCATCACTACCAGTGGTGTAAAACGCGGCGCCGCTGGAGTTCTCTGGAAGGACGAGTCACATCCAGCAGTCCCATAAACACTCCTGAGCCTGGTGGAAAGCCTTCCCAGAAGAGCTGAGGCTGTTGTGGCAGCAAACGGCGGGCCGACGGCATATTCAAGCCTCCAAGGTCACCGTTAAGGTTCATGTGAAGGCAGACGGCCCAATAGTGTCTGTTATTTAATAATCATGAGTTCATCAGGTAAAACAGTTTTAACTTCTGCATCTTCTTTATTATTAGCTTTTGATTGAAACGGTCTCGTCTCTGTGGAAACACTTCCTGCGGTTCAGGTGAGAAGTTCCTGGATTCTTCTCATCATGTTGGTCACAGCTGAGTCACGAAAGAGCTCAGAACTGATTGTTTTTATAAATCCTGGTTCAGTTTATTTTAACATTTGAATAAAACGTAGAATTAAGAGGTTTTGATGAAATATCACAGTTTAATTCTAAAATGTGGTTGATTTTTTTCCAACAAAACTGAAAGTCGCAGATGTTCGAGGAGCTTCTGGGACATTAAAACCCAGATGACGTTTCCTGTTTTTACACTTTCCGGCTGATAAACGGCAGAAATGACACGACTTCAAAGCATCTGCTGAGTTTTGCTGTTCAGGAGGTGGAATGAAGCTGAAACCTGATCCACTGGACCAGCAGCAGCGGCAGCAGGAATCCAGCACTGACCAGGATGTTTTTCTACCTATCACGTTGTTTCTTGACTGCTTTCTTCCTGACACCGGTTAAAATGAAATCTTGCTGACGTGAGCTCTTGTTGCCACGGTGACAGCTTCCCTCCATCCTGCAGTTTATCGACCCGCAGTCGGGAGAAGCCGAGCCTTTATTGTTAGTCAGCAGCTGTTTGGTGGAGACGTGATGTCGATGTCCAGGTGTCCAGGTGTTCATGTGTCCAGGTGTCCAGGTGTCCAGGTGTCCAGGTGTCCAGGTGTTCATGTGTTTAGGTGTTCATGTGTCCAGGTGGAGGTTTCAGTGAGTGGGGAGGAGCTGCAGTTCCAGGAGGTTCTAGTCAGAATCCGGTCTGTAGGAACTGTTTCATCTATACTTAAACCCTTGTTGTCGGAAGATGAAGTGAAGTCAGAGACAAACTGAATCAGATGGACAGGGTTATGGTTATGACACAAACCAGCTGGAGCTGCTTCCAGGAAGTAGTTCACTGGTGATTCCCAAACAGCTGCTTTTATCCTGGAGAGTCCAGGAGCAGTTCTTACAGGTGTTCCTGAAGACATCAACAGGTAAGCGCACTAGTTCAATTCAAACATTTTGAGTCCACTAGTTAACTAGTCAGCCTTTTGTCTTTAGTTGACTGTCTGATAGTTGGAATGATTCACTGTTGTAACTAATAAATATTTTGTACTCCCACTTGTCAACTTGGGAAGTCAAGAGCAGGTTTAACTAGTTAATCAGCCATGTGGCTTTTTTTTTTTTTTTTTAAGTTTAACTAGTGAACATTTTGGACCTCATTAGTTGACGAAAAGCTAAAATGAACCTTGTTAGTGTAACTTTAAAGGTACATTAAAGGTATTAAAAGCA